GCCCCACATCAGCAGCACCCACAGCTTCCCCAGGGAACCATTTCGAATGGGTGAAACCACTGCAGGCTCCTACAGCTCCTAATAACCATCAGAGGCTTTCCACATGCCCCGGGACAAAAGCTGCTAACCAGTAGAGAATCCACTCACTGGTGTGTGTGGGGAGCAGCTCCTGGTGACTGAACCCTGCAGAGAGGAGGAGGGGGGCTCTACAGCCTTCCCCACTGCTCCTCTGAAGCGCAACACTGGGGAGCAGGACCCCCAGACTGGGCCATTTCTGGGCCAGGTGCGGGGGTCAGTTGCTCTGAGCAGCCTCAGGGGGATCTTAGCCCCCTCCTCTGCCCAGCAGGACATGGGCCAGGCACCCTCTGAGTGTGCCCCCAGTCCCTCTTCACCATGGCACCCTCTGCCTCACCCAGCCCGTGTCCTCCCTGCACCCCCAGATGGGCATCACCCACGAGGCACAAGCACTAGAGGACACTGAGGCTGCTCTGCCTGTCCCAGGGACACCCACTGGCATGTCACCGCTAGCTCCCACCCCATGATCCTCTTGGCATGTCCCCTTCAGTGTCCCAGTGCTCGCGAGTGGGTCCTGGCATCCCCAGGAAAAGTCCAACCCCAACATACCCCCCCAGTCCACCTCTGCCACATGTGTGCCCACAAACACTGCAGCCACCATGCAGATGTTCCCAGTGTCCTCATGGGCACAGCACCACCCCAGACATCACCTGGAGTGACATGAGCATCAGCAGGACAAAAACACTGTCCCCAAAGGGAAAGTGTTGACAGGTCACCCTCAAACCTGAGGCTGAGCACAGCCAGGACCCCGGGAGCAGTTTCTAATCCCAAGATGATGGGGTGGAGGGGCTGCAGCCCTTGGAGGGGGACAAAACTCAAAACTGGAGATGGGGATTCATACAGGGTGGCAGGGGTTAAGAAATGCTGGAACATGAGGCAGTGAGGATGACCCGCACTGCCCAGGACATGTGTTGCCACACACCAGGAATAAGGACAGCCCAGGAAGAGCAGCACTAGGGATACATATGTGCATGGATGTGCATGGATATATGTATGTGTACATGGGATGTGCATGCCTGTAGGTGCCTGTGTGGAGGTGTGTGTGTGCATGGAAATACAGAATGTGCATGTCTCATCTCATGCACTCATGGTGTGTGCATGGCTCAGCACTAGGCACTGGCACAAGGTGCCCAGAGAACCTGTGCCTGCCCCATCCCTGGCAGTGTTCAAGGCCTGGTTGGACACAGGGGCTTGGAGCAACCTGCTGGAACCACCCTGCTCTAGAGGAAGGTGCCCCTGCCTGTGGCAGAGGGTTGAAACTGGATGAGCTTTAAGGTGCCTTCCAACACAATCTGGGATTCTGTGATTGTATGATATACACGTGTGCAAATTTTGGTGTGGAGGTGCGTGGCGGGGGGGTGTGCATGGGTGAGCTGTACATACATACAGGTATGCTGACGTATCTGCATGCACATGAGTGCACCTGTGTCTGTGTGTACATGCACATAGGTGGTGTGCACTGTGCAGACACATGTGGGTGTGTGTGCCTGGGGCAGCTGTGCTGCCTGCTCAGCCCCTGCAGACAAGCACATGGGGCTGTAACTGCCCTCCCTGGTTGTGCTGGGGAGACAGTGGCAATGCTGGGGCTGGCGTCAGCACCAGCTGCCCCATGCAGGCACATCCTTTTATGGCAGCGCCTGTGGGTCAGGATGGGGGTCAGGGTGCTCTTGGACTGTCTGCACAGGCAGAACCCGCTGCTGCCAGATATGGGGCAGCAGCCCCAGGCCTCAGCATGGGATGGTCCTCAAGACCCCTGACTGCCATTAGCCCAGCCCCAACAGCACACCAGGGCTCAGCTGAGGCAATGGTATGTGGCAACACAAAGAGCTGAGTGTGGTGAGCCCTGCCAGCAGCAGGAAGTGCCCAGCATCCAGCCAGCCACCACCGTGGCGTGCTCCGTGGCGTGCTCCATGGTGTGCTCCATGGTGTGCTACACAGGTCGCTCCATGGTGTACTCCATGGTCGTCCCAGCATGAGAGGAGCCACTGTGGCCCCATGGCAATACCCTGCACCCCCTCCCAGTAAACAGGGCTCTACACCCCAGGCCATCACTCTCCCCGGTGCTGGTGGGGGTGGTGGGCACGGGTGGAAGCCAAGTGCGTATGTGCTGAGGAGGGGCTGAGGCAGGCCTGGAGGGATCTGAGGGCAGATCCTTCATCCCTAGGGATGAAGGAGAAGTCTCATCTTCTCCTCCAGACCCGAGAGTGCACCCACGCCTCCAGCACCCACATGGGAATCAGGGATGAGTCACCCACAGCAGCCCCTGTCCCTGCCTCAGCCATTGTGCCCAGGCACTGGAGCCATGGTATCACCCACTGGAGAACAAGTAGCCATGTCACACAAGGCATGGCCAATCTGTGGGCACTCAGCCACACGGGGGACACAGACAGGTCCCAGGATGGAGAAACATGGCTGAAAGTCCATCTCATGAGTGATCTGCAGTGTAAGCAGTGCCCTCAGCTCTTCAACAGAAGTGGTCTGCACCTGCCAAGGAGTGGGCTCCAGATGAGGGATGGAGGGACGCAAGGATGTCTTGGCAGGCTATTGCTATCCTTCTCATCCACCCCACATGCTCAGCTGCCAGCATTCTGGGACTTGGCAGGTCCTCAAACATGTGTTCATGGCCCTGGCCCCAGCCTGCAGGACAGTTCCCAACCCCAGCACCTCCTGCTGGCACAGGGATGTGAGATTTTCCTAACAACAGGACCCCTGACCAGACCCTGGTGATGCCGCAGGGCTGGGGGACATGGGTGGCCCTGGCATGGCCCTACACCGCGACGGTGTCACTGAGCCAGCCCCAGTCCTGCAGGCTCTGCCCCACCACAGCATCGCTCAACCCAGCCCCAGACTTGGCTGCTCATTCCTGAAGCCCCTGCAGAGGGGACGCTGGGGGCAGTGGTGTCCCCAAAGGCTATGTGGCAGCAAGGTCCCAGGTAGGCCTCCAGGCTCCTAGTGAGTCCATGGCTCTGGCCAGAAGCATCCCACACACCAGGTCAGGAGGTGGAGCTGGATGCTGGGAACTGCCCAACTTGCTGCAGCCTGGCCCCATGCCCTGTGGCTGTGCCCGAGCTTCCAGCTCTCCACTCTAAGGCTCCCTGAGCTGCCCCATGGTATGGGGGAGCTCAGCCTTGCCCCACAACATCCCAGCTCCCTTGAGAGTGGTGAGACCCACAGGGCCTCAGGTCTGCAGTGGTTTCCTTCCTGCCATGGAGCTGCAGCTCCCCCAGGACAGCCAGCAGGGGAATAGCGCAGTCCACTTTGTAATGGCCAGTGAAGAGATTTGCCAAAAGGAAATAAAAGGATTGTCAATAGAAGGCACCAGCTCTCACTCAGCCATGAGGCAGCAGTGCCCTAAGCCTCACTGCAGACCCATGTGGGAAGGAGAACACTGTGTTACTGGGATCAATCCCTCTGGCAGCAGGAAAACTAATTCAGGGTATTTTAGGGCTATATTCCAAGCAAAAGGAGCTGGAAAGGGAAGATTGGAGCCATAGCTCAGCAGTGAACAGCGCTAGAATCCATCAGCTGCTGTTAACATGGACCAGG